TCAGAGTGTTACATAAAGAGAGAATTGAGAATTTAATGCCAGAGACAGGAATCGTAGGTTTTGACAGTTACAGAAATCCAAGCAAGAGATGATAAGGAACATAAAAGAAATGCTAATAAGGAAGAACAGATAGGACTAGGCAATTGACTGGCTATAAGAGAAGAATATAGTTCAGCATGGGGGCTCGTGACACCGAAATCTAGATGTGAGCATTCTCCAAGAGAAGCTACAGAAAAGCTGTGTTGCTTTGGCAGCTCGGAGCACTTCCTGCTCTTGCCGAGGACCAGGGTTCAGTTACGGCTCCAGCTTCAGGGCGTCTCACTGCCTCTTCTGTCTCCTGGAGGCACAGGAGGCACACGGTGCACAGACTCCCTACGCTAAAGGAAATGATCTTGAAACGGTTTTAGGAAAAGAATATACAGAAGGAGCAAGCTCACGGGGACCAGGTCCATTTGGGACATGTTAGTACAATAGGCTGCAGGATGGATAGCCCAGAGATGCCCCTGAAAGCTGGTGAGAATGGATTCTGAACTAAGGGAATGGCTTTGATAATAATGTAGGTTGGAGAACCATTAAATTATGAATTTACCACTCAATTCTGTTTTTTTGGTTTTTTTTTTTAATTTGTTCATCTTCTTTCTTCACTAATTTATTGGTACACTTTATTCCAAGTAATGGATATCTAGAGAGGCCGCATTCTTCAATTTGACCTTACATCAGTGATGTGCTGCCTCCAGCATGGCTCTCGGGACAGACCTGTGTGGTGATGGAATGAAGAAATCACTAACACAGAGACATGAAGACATAGAAAATCTGGGATATGGTAGACCAAGTTATGTGAGGGAGAAGCCACAGCACACAGCTGAACAGAGAGGTGGGGTTATTGCATACAGCTGGACATGGAGGCATGATTATAAAGTTGACAGATTGTTAACAAGGAGCCAGGGCACAGAGTGGGATCAAGGAAACAGGCTTAGCTAATCTCAGTAGCAGCAGTCACTATAGGGAGGCATCTTCAGGCTGTAAACAACCAGTGGGAGAAAAGTGTGGTGGACCTTTTCTGCACACCCTATCGACAGCACGTGACCCAGAGGAAGGCTTTGCTATCCTCCTGAACTGGGGTTGAGATTTCCCCGTGGGTCTAAAGCTAAGGTCCTTGTCTTGGCTGGTTCATGTCAACACTCAATCACTCAGGATGTCACACATGTAGAACTTCCTCCACTCTCCTCAGTGATGAACTTTGGTTTCCGGATACCAAACCACAGTGGTTTTACTTTCCTGGTTTTGCTCTAAACAGGCCCCGATCTGCTCTACACTTTGCATGAGCCAAGGTGTGGGAAGCACTTTTCAAAAAGTGTCTCCAAAACAGCCCTGGGTGTTAGTTGGATTTTTTTTAAATGGTGGTTGGTTGGAAGTCTGGCGATGGCCTCAGTCCCCTATCGGGAGAACCATATCTGCACGGCTGTGGGGACCTGTCCATCTCTGCCACCCTGAGCTGCCTCTGTGCCTGGAGTATTCTGCCTTGAGCACACGTGTTCTCTTTCTTTCCCCCTCTCTTTGTCCCTTTCTTTTGACACAGAAGCAGCTTCTTTATAAAGTTAGAATGTATGTGAGTGAATATACGTATGTATATTTGTGTGTTTACACACGCACGCTGATAGTGATCATCTTTGCGTGATGAACTTATGCACGAATTTTCTGAAAGCTCTCAGATCCTGCCTGCCCTGATTGGAGGCTGTGCGCTGCTGCATCATGGTCTTATGGAGGTGGATCCTCCAGTCCCCTCCATTTCCCACTGCACACAGTTGGACCACAGAGATCCAAGTTATGTCTGGAAAGGTGAACCGAAGTTTCTGACATAGCTGGAAAGCACTGGAAACTTGGGGACATTACGCTTTTAAGAGGCAGTGAAAAGGTAGAGATCAGAAAATCTTTATCTCAAAACCCTTGTTTCTCTCACACACAGCCAGGTACCAGAAGCCTTGCCCTTCGCTGTTTATGATTCATGGCACATGTCCACATAGCCTTCTTGGGTCTTTATTAATGTAGTCCTGAAGAAGATTTAAGTATTACCTTTAAAGGAAATACAGTGGGGCTGAGAAGGTGGCTCAGTTGGTAAAATGCTTGCTACGCAGAACTGAGGACCTGAGTTTATATCCCCAATACCCAGATAAAAACTAGGGATGGCAGCCCACATCTGTAACTCCAGTGTTGTAGGGTGTTCCAGTGTTCCAGGTGGAGCCCTGGAACTCCATGGCTAGCCACTCTTTCCACAGTGATGAGTTCCAGGTCAGGTGAGAGCCCTGTCTTAGAAAATAAGGGGGAGAGAGAGGGAGAGATCAAAAAGAACACATGGCATGAATATCTAGCCTCCACAAGCATGCACACGCGTGCATGCATGCATATGTATCTGCACACCTGCTTGAGTACACCCACATGAATGGGTACATACAACACACACACACACACACACACACACACACACACACACGTACACAGGAAAATTCTTGAAGGGACTGGGGAGATGACTTGGTGGTTAAAGCATTTTCCCGAGAAGCATGAGTACTGGAGTTTAGATTTCTCAGACCCACGTAAACATCAGATGGATGTGGCCTGTATTTCTAGCCTTAGAAAGCAGAGACAGGATTCCACTGAGCAAGTTGACTGGGGAGACTAGCTATATTGGTGAGTTAAGGGTTTGATTGAGAGAGACCACTTCAGCAGATAAGGTGGAAGTTGGATGCAAGATGATTTCCAGCATTAACCTTGAGCCCTCATATGCACACACACACACACAGACACACCTATACCACAAACACACACGTGCCTACACAGGCAAACATTCATATATGTATGTGCAAACTACAGATTTGCTGTAATGCAAGAAAATAAAAATTAATAGCAAAAAGAACATTGTTTTGGTGTTTTTAGAGAGGGCGGGGAGAGAGAGAGGAACATGAATTGGATGAGTAGGGAGATGGGAAGGATCCAAGAGGAGTAAAAGAAAAAACATCAAATTATATTGTATAAAAATAAATAAAAGAGAAAACGAACAGTCATTTAACATCCCTCATTAAAATAATTTTGTAAATTATCTGTACTTTTGAAGTAGACTGCTTTCAAGTCATGGGCTTATAATCAGAAGAGACCCAGGATGTGTGTAAAAGATAGAAAGACCTTAGTGAAGTATATTTAATTACCATTCCATATTTAATTCATGCCTTCTTCCCTTGCTCCATGCCCATCCCATCTCCTTTGTGCTCTAGTTGTTTCTGTTTCTGCCCACCCTCCTCTGTGTGCCATGATGACGGCCACTGATCAGAATCCTGCTAGCCCTGCAAGAGTTGAAAAGCAGGCTTTGGAAAGAGTAGCAGAGTAATGCTGTGGGACGCCAAAGCATTTCTATTTTGAGTGAAAGGCCTTGGTGGATCCTCATCTATTTGTCTCATAGTGTACTTCAGTGGTCATCTGTTTTGATAAATGGCATTTTAAAATTTAACATTTAATCCTTCAGACTCCATGGCATACTTCCCTTTCCTGTCCTGCCAGATTAGTATATTTCTCACTTCTTTTTGCATTCTTTGTGATTAATACAGAGAACCACAACTGGTCAGCATGAAAACAGTGAGAGACTTAGGGTGTTAAGCCCTAAATGCGACATCTTTCACACCATCCTCTAAAGCTATTTGATCAGCGTGGAAGAGCGGGAGGAGAGCTGTGGATGTCTGCAGTGACACCATATTTGCCAGACATGACAGGGCTGTTGTGTACATGAACTCAGCAGCTGTAACTACATGCATAAGACCTGGGCAAGATCAAGCCAGCCAAAATCCCAGTAAGGATCCCAGTGTAAAGGAAAGGGACTCCTGAAGCCCCACCCTTAACTGAGGCACAACTGAAAATTATTGACTACGAGGGGAGGGAGAATTGGTTTTCTTTATGGTTGTGGCCTCCAAGAGGCAACCCATGCTCCGGGAGGTTGTCCTAGACCCGAAGCAGAAATAGGCAGCACTAAGTGGACTCTGGTTTAAAATAAAAACAAACAAACAACAACACAGAACACGTGAACTTGTGTGTGTGTGTGTGTGTGTGTGTGTGTGTGTGTGTGTGTGTGTGTGTGTGTAAAGGGGATTTGTTAGAATGACTTACAGGATGTAGTTGAGCTACTCCAGCAATGGCTGTTTATCAATGGGAAGTTCACAATTCCAATAGTTATTCATTCCATGAGGCTGGATATCTACCAGTATAGAAGACTATACTGATGGTCTTCAGTAAATCACAGAAATCCAAAGAAGTAGGCTCTTATGCCAGTGAAAGGAGAGCAAGGACAAGCAGGCAAAGAGGAAAAGCTTTTCTTTCTTGTCTTCATAAAGGCTGACATGAGAAGGGTTGCTCAGGTTGAAGGTGGGGCTTCTGACCTCAGATGACTGAGTTCACTAAAAGTCCCTTACAGGTGTGTCCAGGAGTTTAGCTATGTAGTTAATGGCAGATGCAGTCAAGTTGACAGCCAAGAATAAACCTCACAGTAATCACTGGTAAGGACTTCCAAGTGTTTCCAAGGGTTGCATGGTAGCATTTCAGCCAGCAAAACCGGGAAGTCCTTTCAGGAAACCCTAAATCTTAAAGATGTCTTTAAGAATATGGGTTTCGGGAATGAAGAGATGGCTTGTTTTTAAAAGCACTGTCAGATCTTCCAGAGGACATGGGTTCAATTCCCAGCACCCACATGACAGCTCACAACTGTCTGTAGCTCTAGTTCCAAGGGATCCCTCAAACTGATTCATACAGTCAAAACACCAATGCACATTAAATAAAAATAAAATGGTTTTTAAAAGAATATGAGTTTAAACAGGGGAAAACAAGAAAAACTTGGAGCTTTATAACTGATGGGCACGGGTTGGTCTTAATATTAGTGACCCCATTCCTCAAAGTGGACCTGATTTCTTTTTGTTCTTTGTGGATTTCTAAGAGATTTTTTTTTTTATGTTTTTGGCACCCAGGAACTAAATAGCTTTAATTACTTGGATCTGTACAGACTTGCTGACCTCTTTCACCTCACATTGTTGGAGAAGGCAGTGATAGACTTCCTGGTGAAGCACCTCTCTGAGCTCCTGAAGAGCCGCCCAGAGGACGTTCTCACATTGCCCTACTGCTTGCTTCAGGAGGTGCTGAAGAGTGACCGCCTGACCTCACTGAGTGAAGAGCAGATCTGGCAGGTGAGCATGGCTGCCTGGCCTCGGGAAGGCGGGAGTAGGAAGGGAAGGATTCCTCACTGAGTGAAGAGCAGATCTGGCAGGTGAGCATGGCTGCCTGGCCTCCGGAAGGCGGGAGTAGGAAGGGAAGGATTCAGGAGCAGCCACCATGATGTGATGAGGCTTGCTCTCAGCTGTGCTGGAGTCCTGCTGTGCTGGGAGGCAAGTCACGGTGGACACCCAAGCTGCCGGCTGCCCAGCCTGGAGTGAGGCCAGCACTGGTGCTTTCTCAAAGCCGGGCAAATCAGAAGTGGCAAAGGGTTTTCTCCTGAGGACAAAAACATTTCTTAAGCTCAATTTGAGAAGACTGGATTGTAAAGCAATTTTATACATATTTAAGCCATTGAAAACAAAAGGAATTCAGCATTCTTGGGGAAAACCATTCAGAAATAGTTCCTTTAAAAATTATTGTAGTGAAAACAACTTAGAAATGGCTTTTTATACTCCAAATAATTTTTAATATGAGTTTTTAGCTAATTTGTAGGTAACTTATTAGTTGATGAGTTTTGAAATTGGCTAATTTGAATGATTTAAGTTTGGGTGAAGAAAGACTTGTCTACAAGTCAATGAAATGAAGGTGCACAGGTAAATTAATACAAGTGGTCATTGGTAAACACAAGTGTTCAAACATGGTTGTACTCTGGAATCTTTGAGATTTTTAGAATACTTGGCTTGGAGTATATTCCAAAAATTGTTACTGAGAACATACTGTGTATGTCCAGGGAATCTAAACTTTTTCTTTAGTTTTTTTTTTTTTTTTGAGATTATAATGTAATTACATCTTTTCTTCCTTCCCTCTCTTCCATCTGAACCCTCCCACATGCCCTCTTTCTGTCTTTCAGATCTGTTAGCTGTTGTTGTGTGCATATAAGCTTAGAGCTCAAGTGAAAGGAAGCTCTTCCTATGCACAGAGGGGAATGCCCCCCCCCCCCATGATGATGTATTCGCTGGAGATCTCACAGCCCTTCCTTCCCGGACTGTGGGATCTTTTCACATCCCGTCACTGCTTTGTCTAGGGACAGAAGGATGTTTTCTTTGTTTGAAAGTTGATTAGTCAGTTTAAATCCTCTTCTGCACATCCCTGGCGACTGTCCGTGGATACTGCTCCTGAAGTCTCCAGGAGATAGAGCCTATTTTCCCTGTCTCCCACCGCCATCTCTCTCATTCTACAGCACTGTTATACATCTTGATATTTCCAATGCCTGCAGGAGGCTATGAACAGGGGCTCTGCGCATGCACTGGAGGAGTCCACTGTTCTACTGACAGATGGAAGAGTCACTTCCTATCTTATCAGACATATTCAGGGAGCCTTTGACCTCTGTTCAAAATGTGTCACCTGATTCTCCTGATGCATAACTTTTGTGATACCTTCCTTCTTTGAACTTTGATCAACACCCGTCCTTCTTTTTGTTGAAAATAATAAGAAATAGGGCCAGCCTGATCACAGGCATTTGAAACCTTACTGACTTACCACAGGCCAGATGAGTGCTGTCTCCACCTACTAACAGAATGAAGGTATCAGAACCCGGCTCCAGTTTATAGAGCGGCTCAACCCTTCAAATCCAAGGGTGTTAGTACCTACCGTTCTCTCTCCACTAATCCACATTCTCAATTTAAAATGAAGTTACAAGAATCTGCTGCTTCCTGGGCATTTGTGGGAAGTTTTACTCAGACAGTGGTTATAAGTGCTGGCGAGGATGCGGTTCTGGCAGGGACTGCAGGAATCCTCAGCTCAGGATTTACTATGGCCAGTTCAGAGGATGAAGTAACCAAATTACTTTACTTTACAAAGGGAAAAAGAAACAGAATGGATTCTATAGTTTTCCAAACAAGACTGAGACTTGAGGCCATCCATCCTTGTGGCATCTGCCTGCTATTGTTGCATGGTTGAAAACACTGCCCGAGATAGACACAGTAAGGTGCAGACGTCAGAATATCAGCAAAATTCCATTCTGTCTGCTTAGAAACTATCACGATTGCCTCTCAAAGGCTACTAGTTTTATAAAGTAGAATTTTAGAAACTGGTTTCTGCAGGCAATAAGATAGTTTGTTAGATCTGATCCCCCATAAAAGGAATTAAAAGACTCCCATAAATATTATCAATTTAGGCATTCAGCAGGCAATAAGAAATTGTTTTTGCTTTATCTTAGTAAATAAGTAATCCCCTCATACTCAGTAGAGAAAAATGAAATCAGACCAACTATATTGCCTCAAGTATAGTTAAGTTCATCATTTTTTCTAAGGTTATACTAGTAATGCAATATACCATGGAAGAATCTAATATTCAGCCCAGGGTAAAGATTGGGTCTGCCAGAGGATTAGTGTCAGGGTGCTTTATAGAAGTGAAACTTGACGGACAGGCTGGAGACAGATCTACAGAATCTCATTAAACTGTTGAATTGTTCATTACAGAACGTCCTCACTGTAATAAAGTGCTCATTGACTTTGACAAATCCCCATCCCGTGTCTTAAAGAACAGTGAAGAAGAGGTGCTGAGGAAGAGAGAGGAAATTGGCACAAAGTAGGGCAGGTGACAGAAACGTGGATGAGGGGCTGTGCCATTTGATTAATATGTGCAACACTGCTTAGGTGAGACACAGCCCACACAGGAGTTTACCCAGGTGGCTGTTTCACTGTAAGTGATAATCTAATCTGGGACAATCCCTTCTTCGGTGAAAGGTCTAGTTTTCTCTATATTCCAGTTTGGCTCTGAAGACCTGTCATAAGAACCATGAAGTTATTCTCACTGAACAAACTATTTGCATATTTATTTACCTCTTTCTTTTCCTGTTCCTTTCCTTGATAAAATGTACTATACCCTGCAATGACCGTTTTGCAGATCCGTGAGCCTCCTAAATCTCCCTGACATTATACTTTGTTTTCTTTGTCCATTTAAAGAAAATTTTTTTTTTGAAACAGGGGATTTTTTATCTCCAGCTCTCCTGGAACTCACTATATAGACAAGGCTGGCCTTGAACTCATGAATAGTCGCTTGCCTCTGCCGCCAGAGCACAGAGATTAAAGGTGTACACTCAGAGAGTTTGACCTTTTCAAACTCTTCTTTTGCATGGAATGTCTTAGTCTGCCCTGCATAGTTTTCCTTCCTTTGGCCCATCTTTTTTTTAGGTTTGTTGGCTAACTTCATTATGTTTTCAGAGGAGACAGAGAGATTTGAACACAGTTGTATTGTCAGATGTTTCCTAGCGCAGCAATTTAGTTTGATGTTTTGAGGACAATGATTTCTTAAGTTCCAAATGAAAGTCACCAAAATTATTAGCTTCAAAGAAAGAGGAAACACAAGCAGCAGAAAATGAGCAAGCCAGCACAGAGGAGGTCGTGGCATGCAGGCTTTCACTGTGTTACCGGCAGGTTTCTACCAGTGTGCTCTTGCTTTCAGGCCAGTGGAAACTGCACACTTTGTTTAGGCCGGTGCTGCTGGGTTCTCCAGCTTGACTCACCTGTGGAGTTCCATGCAAGGGTCCTGCCAGAGAACGTGCTGACCAAAGGGTTCAAATTTTTTCACATACAAATTCTGAGGATTGGATGCCCTACAGGGGTGGCATTTGCTATGCTAAATTAGACTGAGATGATCATTATGCTATGTTTGTGTATGTCAATTTATCACGTTGTCTACCTTTAATATACTCAATGCTTAGTTGTCGATGAAATGGTTTAAAATAAATAAGCAAATAAGCCAAACAGGGGAGCCTGTTTGTTTTCTAATGAGAGAGAACAAAAAAAGGATGTGGATTTGGGTGGCTGGGAAATTGAGGGAAGGGTAATCATAATCAGAATATATTGTATATGAAAAAAAAATCTATTTTCAATAAAAAAGAAGAAAAACTGCTTAGAATGAAATAATTTGATTCCTTTCCTACAGAAGAGCTACTTATCTCTTCTCAGAAAGGTACATTTTCTGCTTGTTCAGTCACAGGTTCTATTTCTCCAGATTGAGAGGGAGGTAAGCCTATTCCATTGGAGAACAGTTGATAGGAACGGTTCCACCTGGTACAAGCCCCTAGACAAGCTAACAGAGAAGGCAGTCTCTCTTCCCAGCATGGAGTGAACAGCTGAGACCTCTAGTTGCTTGAGGTAGAAGAAAGAGCACAGGTTTGCTAACTCTGTTTCTCTCCCCAAGCCTTACTCAAAAGCGAAGAGACCTTTTTTTAATTAATTTAATTTATATATTTATTTATTACAATGTATTCACTTTGTATCCTGGCTGTAGCCCCTGCCTTGTCTCTTCCTAGTCCCACACACTCTCCCTCTTCTCTCCCTATACCCTTTCCCTAGTCCCCTGATAGGGGAGGACCTCCTCCCCTTCCATCTGACCCTAGCCTATCAGATCTAATCAATGCTGGCTGCACTGTCTTCCTCTGTGGCCTGGTAAGGCTGCTCCCCCCTCATGGGGAGGTGATCAAAGAGGCAGCCACTTGAGTTCATGTCAGAGACATCTCCTGTTCCCCTTACTAGGAAGCCCACTTGGAAACTGAGCAGCCAATGGGCTTCCTCTGAACAGGGGGTCTAGGTCCTCTCCATGCATGGTCCTTGGTTGGAGTATCAGTCTCTCCTGAGCCCAAGTATTTTAGCTCTATTATTCTCCTTGTGGAGTTCCTGTCCCCTCCAGGTCTTTCCATCTCCATATTTTATAAGGATTTGGCACTCTGCCAACAGTTTAGCTATGAGTCTCAGTATCTCCTTTGATATCCTGGTGGGTAGAGTCTTTCAGAGGTCCTCTGTGGAAGACTCCTGTCCTGTTCCTTGTCTTCTCCTACTTCCAATGTCTATCCTGTTTGCCCTTCTGAATGAGGATTAAGCATCTTCCCTAGGGTCCTCCTTATTGTTTAGCTTCTTTTTGTTGTTGTTTTTTATTTTCTGTATTTTTTGTATTAATTACAAATTATTCACTTTGTATACCAGCTGTAGCCCTCTCCCTCATCTCCTCCTAATCCCACCCTCCTTCT